CATCTACCTTCTCAGGTGAATGTTAAAGAATCTACTATTTTGAAGAAGAACAGAGGCGATCTGACACTTTGACTGATATTAAAACTCAAACGAGACCACTGGAAATGAATAGTCACTACCTCATTCCTGTCTGTGGGAGCTTGCTGTACACAAATGGGTTGCTACTTTTGCTAAGAAGCCTGGGCCTGAAACATTAACTGTGCTTTCTCTGTCCACAGATGCTGCCAGACCTGTTGAGTTTTCCCAGCAATTTCTGTTTTTCTCACTTTTTCCCACTTTAAAAAATACTTCACGCAATAATGTATTCTCTCATGGGGAATGGACATTGATGCATAGGGTCTCCATTAATCACCATCTCTAAGCACTCTCGTGAAGGCTCAGAAGAGATTTACCAGGATGCTGCTGGGAATGGAGGGTTTGAGTTGTAAGGAGAGGCCGGATAGGCTAGGACTATTTTCACTAGAGCATAGAAAGTTGAGGGGTGACCTGATAGAGGTTTACAAAATCATGGGGGTATAGATAAGGTGAATGGGAGGTGTCTTTTCCTCAGGTTGGGGGATTTCAAGATTCAGGGGCATATTTTTAACACGAGAGGAGAAAGATTTAAAAAGAACATAAGGGGCAACTTTTTTACACACAAGGTAGTTCACGTGTGGAATGAACTGCTGAAGGAAGTGATGGATGTGGGTATAGTTACAACATTTAAAAGACATTTGGATAAGTACATGAATAGGAAATGTTTGGAGGGATATGGTCCAAATGCAGGCAGGTGAGACTAGTTTAATTTGGTAACATGGTCCATGTGGATTAGTTGGACTGAAGGGTCTGGCTCCATGCTGTTTAACTCAAGTAAGCTGTTGTCTTGAATCTCTATAGACTTACAGGGTGTAGAGACACCCACCATGCTGTTGGGGAGAGAATTCCAGGATTTTGACCCTGTGACACTGAAGGAATGGTGATATATTTCCAAGTCAGGATGGTGTGTGACATGAATGAGAACTTGCAAGTGGTGATATTCTCATCTATCTTCTGCCCTTGCCCATCGAAATGGCAGTGATCATGAATTTAGAATACATCAGTGAAGGAGACATGACTTTATTGGCTGTCAAGTCTTTAGGACATTCCAAAATTTTAAAAGGTGCTACACAAATGCAAGACTGTCTTCCCTGAGATGATTGCACTATGTTGCAAAAATACAAACATTCCCACTAAAACAAAACTTGGCATTATCTCAAGTTTCCTTCCTGGCACATATAATCTACTATAAAAAGCCCTGGCATTGCAATTAAATAATGTTATCATGGGAAGATATTTCCTTACTGTGAGGAGAATGCTAGAATAATGGGAGGTACTGTAAATAAAATGGATGTTTTAATGACTTGTGTCAACAGAGGGCCATTTCAATAGCTTTTTTATCCCATGTTATTTAGTTGAGAAAGCATCCAAATGTAAGTGGTTTATTTCATTTCTGAGTTTATGAGGAAAGTCAAAGCCAGTCACTTTCAGTGGAAAGCCATCATTATCCTGTAAATAAAGCGCAAATGCTTCATGGGGCCTCTCTACTTGAATAGAAAGAGACCCCACATTTTGTTCCAGACCAAAAAGGCAGAAGGTGGACTTGAAGAAGAAGAATTAATTGTTGTGACCACCGTAACCACTATTCCTCAACCACCGACGCTCAGTAGCAGCAGTGTGTACTTTCTACAAGATGCACTGCAGAAATTCACCAAAGATCCTCACACAGCACTTTCGACCGCTTCCATCTGGAAGGACAAGGGCAGCAGATACATGGGAACACCACCCCCTGCAAGTTCCTCTCCAAACTATTCACCATCCTGACTTGGAAATATGTCATGACACCCAGGTTATAGTCCAACAGATTTACTTGAAAACACAAGCTTCCAGAGCCCCGCTCCTTCTTCAGGTGTTAGTGAGAGAGGTAGTATCAGGCGCAGAATTTATAGGTAAAAGATCAAAGCGTCACATCATGATGAGGATGCATTAAACAAACCTAAGATGCTGTTAAATCTTTAATCTGTTAGAAGGTTTTAATTGATTAATATGTATATGTAAATCCCCAAATTCCTCTCAAGTCACTGTCCTGAGAGAACTAAAAGTTTTATCAGTGCAAAGAAGAGGTGACATTTTGGGTCAGACAATGCATGTTAGCTGTGAGGCCTTGTTTAGAATCTGTTTCTGTTTTGGCGGTGTAATCCTTTGATCTTTTACTTATAAATTCTGTGTCTGATACTACCTTTCTCACTAACACCTGAAGAAGGAGTAAGACTCTGAAAGCTTGTGTTTTCAAATAAACCAATTGGACCGTAACCTGGTGTCATGTGATTCCTGACCTTGTCCACCCCAGTCCAACACTGGCATCTCCACATCATGGGAATATAACGATCTTCCTTCACTATCACCGGGTCAAAATCCTGGAATTCCCTCCCTCAGGGCATTGTGGGTGTACCCCAGCACATGGGCTGCAGCGGTAGGGCATCTCACCACCACCTTCTCAAGGGGTAACTCAAGGCCCACTCCTATGCCTATTTCTTATAGTCTTGGGATGGGTGTTAAAGGCTGGCCCAAACAGCAAAGCCCACACTCCAAAAGCAAATAAGAAAAGGCAAACCATCAAGTTTGACAGCCAATGAAGGGCTTTCTGAAATGTTTCTTGTGTCTAATGTAGATAGCAGGCAATCAGGAATCTGAAGTGAAGGTTTTTAAATTGGGAAATAGGCCTTGAATGCACATTAAAATAATGTGATATTCAGTGAATTCCTTCAAATTGAGCTTGATGCTTATTGGAAAGGAATAGGCCTCTCTGTCAGCCGTGCTTTCCTGATACTTTTAAGCAACGTACAAACAGTATCAGCAAAACAATTCTCTAACACTGCTTTCTCTCCACAGAACTACTGAGTTTCTCCAGCAAATTTTGTTTTTTTTTTCCCAATTTTCAGCATCTGCAGTTCTTTGGGGTTTTTTTTGTTTAGCTTGTTTTGAGTCAGATACTTTAGAGACTTTTAAGCGACTCTTGGATAGGCTAATGGAGGATAGTAAAATGCAGGGAATGCAGGGTATGCAGGGTAAATTGACCTTAGTAGGATAATAGGTCGGCACAACATTGTGGGCCGAAGGGCCTGTACTGTGCTGTACTGTTCTATGTTCTATGTTCTAGTGGTTAACTCACTGTCACATCTCTCCCAACTTGAAGAACTTCTGTTGCTATCTCCAACAGGGTTTCCCAGTCCTGCGAAAGGGTCACTGGATCAAAAACATCAACTCTGCTTTCTTGGCTCACAGGTAGAATATAGAACATAGAACACTGCAGCATAGGAATGGGCCCTTCAGCCCACGATGTTGTGCCAAACATGATGCTAAATTAAACTAATCCCTTCTGCCTGCCCTTAGTCCATGTCCCTTCATTCCTTGAATATCCATGTGCTTATCTAAAAGCCCCTTAAACGCCGCTATCGTATCTGCCTCCACCACCACCCCTGGCAGTGTGTTCCAGGTTCCTAACACTCTCTGTATCAAAATCATGCCCCCTACGTCTCCTTTGAATTTTCCCCCTCTCACCTTAAAGACATGCCCTCTAGTATTTAAACATTTCAGCTCTGGGGAAAAAAAGATTCTGACTGTCAACCCTATGTATGTATCTCATAATTTTATAGACTTCTATCAAGTCTCCCCTCAGCCTCACTGCTCCAGAGAAAACAACCCGAGTTTTTTCCATTCTCTGCCAAACCTGCTCAGTTTCCTCAGCAATTTCTTCTTTTGTTGCTGAAAAACAACATTTTATTCGGGATTATGTTGTGTTTTATTGGGATTCCCCTCCTTCCAAAAGGACCAGTCAAAATCACGTGGGATAAATACAAATTTGGCTCATCCATAGTCACTTATTTATCTGTACCTCTCTCTGACCTGGATGCATGAAACATAGAGAATCTATCACAAGGTAATAAGAAACTTTCAGCTATTCTGCGAGATCTAGTCTGCAGATCATTAGGGTAGTTTATGAAGTTATTTATCCAGGTGATTCCAAGCTGAAACTTTAGAATTCTTTCTTGTGGTGTGCTTTAAACGGCAAGTAATTATTTTTATTTAGGTGGAAGAGTTAGGTGGATCGAGAGTGAGACAGAAAATGAGAGAAATCGAACAGACATTGGGAGAGGTTAAATAACATGATTCAGGTGGCTCAGGGGTTAGCACTGCTGCCTCACGGCACCAGGGACCTGGGTTTGATTCCAACCTTGGGCGATTGTGTGGGGTTTGCACGTTCTCCCTTTGTCTGTGTGGGTTTCCTCCCACAGTCCAACGATGTGCAGGTTAGGTGGGTTGGCCATGGGAAATATGTGGTAAGGTGTTGGGACTGGGTGGAATGCTCTCTGAAGGGTCGGTGTGGACTCAATGGGCCAAATAGCCTGCTTCCACATCAAGGCCTTTCTGCTGAGCATTCAGAAAAACTGTCTAATCACTGAACATGTGAATGTGCTAATTGTTGGTCAATGCAATGGGTACATGAGGAAAAAAAAATTATTTACTTTCTGGTGACGGATCCAAATGCATCCATTTCGCTGCCCCTGGGCAGACCCTTTACACCTTTTCCCTCCCAGTTTTGTTCAATAATTTCCCTGCCCTTCTCATACTGGAGTAATGCTACGGGACACCTGTTGAGGCGGAATGCTCAGCATTTTTTTAATTGCCCACCATCATCATTCTTCTGTCGCACATCCAGAGTTGCGTGTACTTCCTGATCGGTAGAAGCAGAGGATTGGTTGGAACCCAGAATGTATTGACATACATAATTTATAAAAAAGAAAATGACCAATGGGGGGGAATACTTGTCAGGAAACAGCCAATCAGACTTGAGTATTCACAGGCAGTAAGTAAAAGGAAGAGGCTGGACCAATTAGATTGCCCCAAATGTTTGTGGTGTGTGTTTGCAACTTCCTGTGGTGCCCCTTCTCTTTTCTTTTAATCCATCTAAGAATTTCCAGAGGGGGATTAAACAGTAAAAAGCCAATGTACTAAAATTGGAACGATATAGAGAAGGTTAGCAGTGGCCTTTGGAAAAGGATGGCATGTAAATTTGTGAAGGGGTCCATATTTCGCTCTCGTGGTGCAGTGTTGGGAGTCCTGGGCTCAAGTCCCATTTGTTCCAGAGATAACACAGTGTGGAGCTGGAGGAACACAGCAGGCCAGGCAGCATCAGAGGAGCAGGAAAGTTGACATTTCGGGTCAGGACCCTTCTTCAGATCCTTTGTTCCAGAGTTGTGTTGTAACTGGCTGTTGAAAGCATCTACAAGAACCCAAATGTACTGGAGTTCCATGTGGAGCTAATCGAAGCTCACCTCAAAAAGGGTTCTAAAGGTTCAGCTTCAAATCACTCAGATAAATAATTTAACAAATTACCTAAATGCTCTGAAAACCAGTTCTTTCAGAATAGCAGAGAGGGTCTTATTAACTCGTGGTGATAAATTCTCCGTTTTCACTCATTTAGGTTGGAATGAGGTACAAATTCTGTTCTTTGCTGTATTCCGCTAAAAGTGAAGACGTCAATTTCAATACTAAAACATTTGAGAGAGCTTCAGTTATTAATATAGGCACTGCAGAAATTCACCAAAGATCCTCAGACAGCACCTTCCAAATCCATGACCACTTCCATCTAGAAGGACAAGGGCAGCAGGTACATGGGAACACCACCCCCTGCAAGTTCCCCTCCAAGCCACTCACCATCCTGACTTGGAAATATATCGCCGTTCCTTCACTGTTGCTGGATCAAAATCCTGGAACTCCCTCCCTAATGGCATTGTGAGTCAACCCACAGCACAGGGACTGCAGCGGTTCAAGAACACAGCTCACCCCCACCTTCTCAACGGGCAACTATGGACAGGGCAATAAATACTGGCCCACATCCCATTTGTGAGTATTTTTAAAAAAACTGTAGCAATTAAAAACTCATTTTATAGCTCAGTTTATCCAGGTCATGAAGTATATACATTTATGTATTTATTCTGCAACAAATCCCTAAGTCAACATTTTCAATCTTTTGGCCTTGAGATAAGAAAAAGGATTTTTGTTAGATTCAAAAAGCTGCAGTCACTTTCTTTCAGATGAACAGATTTATGGATGTACAGGTTTATGATAACTTCGGAGAAGGTAGAGGAGGAGAAACTGTTCCCAATAACTGATGCCACAAAGATGGTTATAACTTGCTCAGAGATAGTAAGAACTGCCGATGCTGGAGTCAGAGATAACACAGTGTGGAGCTGGAGGAACACAGCAGGCCAGGCAGTGTCAGAGGATACTCACTGATATGCTTCCTGTCATCTCTTTGTGAGCTAATGGGCAGACTTGGCTGAGTTCCTTAGTAGTGTGGGGATAATGTGTTAGCTACCATCTACCACACTCACCCCCACTTTGAGGAAAAGGTGGGGAAAACGTCTGCCAAGGGTAGATGTTAAACAGAACCTGCAGAGAGGAAGAACATTAAAGAAGTCACAATGAATGATCCTTCCAATCCAGTCTGAGGTTTGAGTGCAGGTTCGCAGACTGAGTCTCCAGCCAGCAGGACCTTGTTTATTCTTCAATGAGATTGTGTCCCTCGAGTTTTCGATGAATCTCAAAAGATCCCGTGGGAATGCACAAAACAGAGTTGTGCCAACACTCCTCGCTCAAATCCCGTTTGCCAAAAAAAGCATGTGGCAGGTCATTCACGTCACCATGGCTAGCGGGATCTTGCTGTGCATAAACATGCAGCCAATTCACTTCAAGGTGAGCCACTGCAATTCGGGGTGATTGTCCCTGAGGGAAACGGTGGCAGGATGTGACCAATCCCCAGGAAGGACAGGGTTGGTTGGCTGTAGCAGGGCGTGGTAACATTTCAGGATTGGATTAGCCCCTGATTCTCTTCTTAGTTCATTCACAGGATGAGGGCTTCGTTGGCTAGGTTAACATTTATTGCTTATGTCTAATTGCCATAAGATTCAACTGAATTGTTGTGAGTCTGGAGTCACATGTAGGCCAGACCAGGTAAGGATGGCAGTTTCCTTCCCTAAAGGACATTAGTGAACTGGATGGGCTTTTCCCAACAAACCACAATGGATTCATGGTCATCACCAAACTCTTAATTCCAGATATATTTATTGAATTCATGTTGCACTATCAGCCATGCCTGGATTTGAACCTACTTCCCTAGAACATTATCTAGGTGGCTGGATTAATAGTCCAGCAACAGTACCACGAGGCCATTGCCAACCCTAAATGGTGGGGTCCTACTATGGAATTGTACCAATGGAATTATTAAGCCTCCACTTATCCCCAGGCCGCCACTCAACACCCTCCTGCTCCACAGTTAACGTCCCATTTTAATGGTGCCATTGGCGTTTTGCCAACACTGGGGTAGACCTTCAATGAGTCGGGAGCTACGTGAAAGGAGTCTCACCGCAGCAGTCTGGGGGGAGCTGGTGTGATTAGGAGGAGAGCAATGGCTTCATGGAGCCAGTGAGGTCGATGCAAGCAGGGATGGAACACAACCAAGGACCTCCCAGGAGGAGTTAGATAGAGTCATTGAGTCATAGAGATGTACAGCATGGAAACAGACCCTTCAGTTGAACTCATCCATGCTGACCAGATATCCTAAATGAATCTAGTCCCATTTGCCAGCATTTGGCCCATATCCCTCTAAACCCTTCCTATTCATGTACCCATCCAGGTGTCTTTTAAATATTGTAATTGTACCAGCCTCCACCACTTCCTCTGGCAGCTCATTCCATACACGCACCGCCCTCTGCGTGAAAAAGTTGCCCCTCAGGTCCCTTTTAAATCTTTGATCCTCAGACCGTGTGCGAGATGTTTTTTCTCTTCTTCATTCTGGGTCACCTCCCACACTCCTCAGCAGTGCCCGCCTCTCCTAAACAGTTGAGTTGGTGGGGAGTGGGGTTCATCTATGCTAATGTTGACGAGCAGGTCCTGCCACCTGAACCTGGGTTCACTCTTTTACCCAGAATTTGGAGCCCTGGCATTCCCCACCCCCAATAAAACTGAGCCTGGTCTGAGGATTGTGAGAAGTATGTCAGTGCAAATCTGCCTAGCTTCTTCCAGTTAAGGGTGACTTGTACATGATTCACGAATCATATTAGTTTGCTTGCTTGGCTTGTAATTATAGACTACAGTTGCACAAATGTCTTCAATGCACTAAACGAAAACAGAAATTGTTGGCAAAACTCAGCAACTTCAATCTTCAATCAGAACAGAGTCACCGGATCGAAATGTTAACACTGCTTTCTTCCCTCAGATGCTGCCAGACCTGCTGACTTTTGCCATCAATTTCTGTTTTTGTTTCAGATCTCTAAAGTCTTCACTTCTTCCTTCTATTTCAGTCTTCAGTACAATGTTGTTGTCTCTTGTTTTGCAATGATCAAATTATTTTCATTGCTAACAACCTTGTAGAGGTTTATAAAATCATGAGGGGCATGGCTAGAGTGAATAGTCAAGGTCTTTTTCCCAGGGTAGTGGAATCCAAAACTAGAGGGCATAGGTTTAAAGCAAGAGGGGCAAGATTTAAATGGGACCTAAGGGGCAACTTTTTCACACAGAGGGTGGTGCGTGTATGGAACGAGCTGCCAGACGAAGTGGTAGACATGGATACAGTTACAACATTTAAAAGACATTTGGACAGGTACCTGAGTAGGAAAGGTTTGGAGGGAAATGGGCCACACGCAGGCAAATGGGACTATTCAGTTTAGGAAACTGGGTCGGCATGGACAAGTCGGGCCGAAGGACCTGTTTCCGCATTGTATGACGCTATGACTCCTTTGAGCCTATTTCTTTGACCATGTCGTTTGGTCACCTCTTTCAGTGGGGATCAGTTAGCTGGGAGGGCAGGTTTGTGATGCAGAGTAACGCCAACAGCTTGGGTTCAATTCCCCTCACTGGCTGAGGCTACCATGAAGGGCTCTCCTTCTCAACCCCTCACCAGTTGTCTCAGTCTCTAATGAGAGAGTGGGGCTATGGCCTGGTTGTTCTGTGGTGACTTTAATGTCTCCTTAGCATCGACCATTCTCTGATAATGCTCTTGCGAAGTGCGCGGGAGTGTTTTGACTGTGTGTAGAAGCCAGATTTGTTTCAAGTTGCTACGTGCTACAGGAATGAAGTAGTGAGTTGACTTACAATCTCAGTTGCACCTTACTCATGGATCTTAGGAGCTGCCTGGGAACAGATAGCAAGGTAGAGCTGTGATCTGGTTTTCCTTGTCTCATCTTGAAACAGTTAAGTGGTCTTGAGCAGCAAAGCCCTGACAGTGCTTCACCTCCTTTCAAACAGTAGCCATTAAGAAATTCATGAGGCAGCACAGTTTCACGTGGGCCTATTCACTCACATGGCGTCCCCTGTGAGCGGTTTCTTTTATTGATGACCCAGCTGACTTGGAATGGCCAAGAGGAATAAGCATTAGATCGCACGGTGAGGTCGTGGAGAGCAGCTTGCAGATCAGACTCCATTCTCATCAAAGTGCTCGCAAAGAACAACCTCGTGGTAATGTTGACGTGGCTCGTTCCCTAAGGGTCAGGGAGGGGCCTTTAGATCCACTGAGGCCTCTGCAGGATGCAGAGCAATGATCTAATAAGCTCATCTGTCTCTCTGCTTCACTCTCTCTCTCTCACACTCTCTCAGCCTATCTAGCTATCTGTCTCTGAAACTGTCTCTCTCTCTCTATCTATTTCTCTCTCAATCACTCTCTCTCTCTGTCTCACTGTCATCTCTCTCTCGCTCACTCTTAGCCTCTCACTCTCTCTGTCTCTAACTCTCTGCTTTTCTCTCTCTCTACCCCCCCATCACCCCATACCCCCATTCTGTTTCTCCTTCTTTCTCTAACTTTCTGTCTCTTTTTTTCTTCTATCTGTATCTGTGTGCATGTGTGTTTTTCTCTCTCACTGTCTCTCTTTCTCTCTCTGCCTCTCTTTCTGTCTCTCTCTTTGTGCCTCTTTCTTTCTATTTCTGTTTTCCGTCTCTCTTTTTCTCTCTCTGTCTATCTATCTCTCTGTCTTTCATTCTCACTTTCTCTCCGTCTTTTGTCTATCTCACTTTCTGTCTCTCTCCCCCGTCTGACTCC